TAGGTTCAGTTCACCTGCAGCTGGAGCAAAGCAGAAAAACTCCAGTGTACTTCCATTGGAGTTAAAAGCCAAGGAATAATTTTGCAAAATGTTATACCAACACCGGTTTCTTTTCCTCGTTTTTCCATTTCTTTCCAGTAATTCCTTTTTCAGGTGCATTGTTTTGTCTCTCTTTGCATATACTGCCAATGAAGTGATGTTGGCTAGAATCGCTGTGCACTAGTGCTTTAGAGGTCTGTGATGTCAGTGTGTTAAGCACAAAAGTAACACAGTAGGGTAGGAGACTGCTGAAAAGAGGAGGAAAGAAAGACAGCTAAGAGCAGTCTGAAATAAAGCACTGTGGAATGCATGACAAAATGGAAGATGCAACAAAGGAGGAGATAATCAAAAAGTGAGAATTAGCTAATGTGCTGTTGCCTTCCTTAGATGGGGAACACATATTCACCCTGAATAGTAATTTTTAGTGCACTGTAGTAAGTGTTATGCCTTTGAATGGGGGGATGATACCTTGTATAATTTCTTGCATAGGAGCTGCAGAAACTTGGTATTTCTGTGTGCTTGCCTGCTCTCATTAGCAGGATGGAGTGATTGACCTGGCATGCTCTGTGGGGGTGTGTGCCCAGCATGTTCTCTGTGCACCCAGCACTCGGGGAGCAGCTCCCTGGCAGTGGCTGTGGCATTGTGCTGTTGCTGCTCTTTCACGTACTTTATAGTTTCTAATGAAGTTTCAAGGCTCTTTAGAGGCTTTAGTGATTAACTTTAATGGATGTTTGTGATGACATTCTTATTTCACTTCCCCAATCACCTTGGTAGATTTTTATATCATACAGCAGGCTTAGAATCCATTTGGTGTTGGAGATATCCTTACCAGTGTGTTGGATAACTGCTGCTGTGAGTAGCCCCATTCCCCCAGTGAAAAAAATGCAGTTATCAAAACATAATACTGCACTATACTGGTTAACCTGTCATGGAACATATTGCTGAGCAAGGTAGTCTAGCCTGTACTGAAGTCAAGATTTATTGCAGTTTTTTATTTAATTTTATCTATTGCAAATTCATCTTCCCATTGAATCATCTCACAAATTACTTCTGAGGTGGTAGATATTTAGTAATTTAATTTTTGTTTTCCTTTTTAAAATAAAATTGTTCAGGTTTTATATTTCCATTTATCTTGATTTTCCTGCTGAATATCTTAGTTTGAATATGTGTCTGTAAAACTTGTAAAATGAGAAATTAATAATAGCACAAATGGTATGTATCAGAATCAATTTCTTAGGATGGAGACATAAGGGCGCTCATGTTCTTTAAAAAGTCCTGCAGGTATTTTGGTTATCTCTGTAGAAGTGGAAGGAAGAACTCATTAGCACAGCTGGAGCCTTGTGGATGCCCTTAATTTGTTACTGTTCAGAGAAGTGTGGTTGTTATGCAGCTGTTTCCAAAATTTAAATCCTCTCTAGTAGCTTAGTCTTGCTTCACAATATTGTTGTTGTACTGTTACCCATTTATTATAATAATTTAATCTGTTGATGGTGTATGAACAGTACAGACTTGATACAGTTTTGGCCAGTTTATTTTACCCAAGATAGTTTAAATTATTAAGAAAAACCCAGAATATTTAAGCAGATTACACATTTTACAGTTAATGAAATGAAAATACATCTTACATGTGTATTTTTATTGGTCAAGTATATAGAAAAGAACTCAAAAATACACATATTACTAGTTTTAATATATATATAGTTTTAAATATGGGGAAAAAGAGTTTAACTGGAAAAATTTTGGAAATATAATACTGATGGAAAGAGAAAGAAACTGGAGGCTTTTGATCCAAGATTACGACTCTTCTGGGAAATAGGAGTGTATTTTCAGCATTGTTTATTCTGTCATCTTGCTTTTTATTTAAAAACAAATCCAAAGTTTTATGTAAGAGCTATTCTAAATGTCAAAGCAAATTATTAAGTCTCAAGCATAACACTAGGTGAAGCTTATACAGCCTTAAGATTAACCTAAGGAAGTTAACCATAAATGAACAAGTAATTTAATTTGCTAAATTCTGAATTGTGATTGACCTTGATTTGTGTTTCTGAATTGATTCAGACTGATTGATTTACATTTCTCCACAAATTCAGTTTTCCAGTTTAAGTCTACCAAGGATGTTAACTGATAACTGTGTTTACATTTAGTATTAATTAGAAATATACTTTTAGTATATTAAAGTGCATCTTTTAGGTTATTTTTATTTCTTCTCAGAATGGCACTGTGAATTTGGGCAGATGGAGCTGTACTGAAATGCTCTTTGGCATTTGTTAGAGTAATACCTGCTTGATTACTCCACCACCATTATCCTTGGCGGACAATTGTGACTTGTCAGGTCCATCATCTCTTAAAATGTCAAAAGATATGTAGGCCATGGTGTGGTTTGTCTTTAGGTTACATAATATCAGCTCCTCTTTGTGTGGTGGTGTGGGATGCTGTTGTTGATGCTATTTAGTTTCAATATCACTGCCCACCTGCCAGCTAACTGCAGCCTCCAGAAGAATGAGGGTCCAATTGTTTGTCCTTCAGCTAGCCCAGAGGTGGAGGGAAGCAGAGAGGTGATTCAGAATGACCACTATCCCTGCTTTTCAGATACTTCTGAGCTCCTTTGAATGTCTCCATTCCTGAGCTGAACTCTGTATGGAGCCACATGATGATCAGTGTTGTATTAAAGCAAATTGATGGAATGACTCAGGGAAAAGTGTAATGCTCATATAAATGTAAGCTTCTTTAGGTCAATGCTAAAGTAATTTTTTTTTCTGAAAAATCAAGGTTTCTTATTGTAGATTAGACACCTTAATGTTTTGTTAGGCATTAGATACTTATGTAGTAAATAATTGTTTCTGTCCAAAAGAATTTTATGTGAGTGAATCTAAACTGGCTTTGAGTCTAAGTGCATTTATCTTTCATGCCAAAAATTCTTCGCAGATTTATTTCTAGAGTAGAAGTTAAGATTATATTGCTCAATCTATTTTCCTGTTATTGATAGATTTTATTTGTTTGACCTTTCTCCACTGTTGTGCTCAAAAAGAGGCAGACTTGTTATATATGAGAAAGCAAAAACTGCAACAATTTCTATTGCAGGCTCTCAGCCTTGTGCTTAAAAATAGCAAATAGCAGAAGTGTCAGTATGAGTGGCTTTTCAAATATATCACTAGAATGTATATGCTAGTAGCATGTCTGTTTTAATATTTTTATTAGGTTGCTGGAGTTTTTTTTTTGTTTAGGTTTGTTGGATGTTTGGGTTTTTTGGCTTTTGCTTTTTTTTTTTTTTTTTTTTTTTGTTTTTTTTTTTTTTTTTTTTTTTTTTTTTTTTTTTGCCTCACTAGAACTGTTTCCCCTTGGAAGCTAGATTTTGGGTGATTCATTCTAATGGCTTTTAAAAGTTGATTTTTATTATTAAGCAAAATATGTTGTTTTTGTTTGGAAAAGCTGCTTGGAAACGTCTATCATTAAATACTTGTATATGTATGAGCACCACTGGCTTGTCTGCAAAAATATAATAATTTCATAGAAATAATAATGATCCTATAATGCACGTACAGTCAGTGTCAGCATGTAGTCTTTGGTGGGGACAGAAATTTTTCTTGCTGCTTTTTCTAGCAAAAGAAATTGAAATGTTTCCTTTGACCTTCAGGCACTTACTTTCTCAGAAGTAACTGAGAAACTGAGTAACTGTTACTGTCTCAGAAACAGCATTCCTTGATCCATGCCTGGCAATACTAGAGAAGGTTAAGGATGGGAATATTAGTATTCCACATGCACTTAAAACTTGTTTGTGCGCTGAAATGAACGGAAAAATATTTTCTTCCTGAAATAGGAGAATTGATCTACACAAAAATCAGAGTATCTTCATAACTTATGCAGAAAGACAATAGACAGTTATAATTAAGGCTGTCAGGTTTTTGAGGGATTTTAAGCCTCAGGCCTTTCACTCAGTGGGATTCTCTCAAAGTGCCCATCTGTTGGTATTCTCATCAAGCAGGACTTAAGTCAGACAGGCCAGCTTGGTGTGGAGGTACTTCAGGAGTGTTCCAGGGGAACAGGTACTAATATATGTGAAGTGATGCAGACAGAATGTCTAAAAGTGTTGCAGTAATACTCAGCTTTGTTTCAATAAACCTGAAGATGCACTTGGCCAAGTATTAAAGATGCTGAGGGCAGGCTGGGTGAGGTCTTGAAATACATTTGGCTTCCTTAGAAGGTCTTTTGAATGTTTTTTTTTCTTTCAGGTTTTAAGAAATATTGAAGAAATAATATTAATCAAAGTATTCCATAGTTGTTACTCAGATACTCTGGTAAGGATAGCTACTGGAGCACTTCAAAGTAGGATTTCACAGCACTGAGTTATATATCTTTCCTTACACTTTGCAAGAAGGTCTTTTTAGTTACACAAAGGAATGAGAAGATAGTGTGAGTCTCTAAGCAGCTGCGGAATTCCTCTTTTTAAAGTCAGCCTTGCTCAAGTGTATCTGTCACTATCCAGATGCTGATGTGCATATCTGTCTATATATATATAAATATAAATATACATGTGTGATAGGTACAAACATGCATGCACTTTGCATTTCATATCAAAAATACTACTGGTTAGGGTCACTCTTTGTCAGTATGATCTCTACATGAATTTTTAGAGTCTTGTTGACAAAACTCTGCCTGTCACATTGTACCATCGCTGCCAGTAGCAAACGTCTCCAAGGGCAGGGCCTGACCCTACACAGGCAGTCTTTCAACAACAGTTGTAAAATGTCATCCTCACCCTGTCAAGGTCTGCCTTTACCAACTTTTTTCTCTCTGCTCTCTGGAAGTTCCAGTGGGAGTTCAGGAATGTGTCATTTATCACTCAAAATATGGCTTTTTTTGAATATTCTTCACCATCCCAAAGAATCCTCCATCTAGCCTTTTTCCCATCTTTGTTGTCCAAATGGCTGGGGAGTGTGCCCAGGCAGGGGACAAAGGAATTTGCCTTTAGCAGATGGTTTATTTTAAGAGGATGCGCCAGTACTAATGTAGAAGAACTGACAGGATACTCTCAGCTGTAAAAAAAAAAAAAAAGAGAAATATGGGCTGTAGCATAAGGTTTTGCTGCAGTCACTAAAAAAATATTAACTGAAAATGTTGTTAAAATAATGGAAACATAATTGTATGCATCAAAAGTTGAAAATTAAGTACATTCCATCCAACACCCAAGTCTTCCACCTAAATGTAGAATAAAATAAAAAAAGATTGATTGTGAGCACCTTGGAATTCAGACTGCATGAATTTGCAAAAATGCCATAGCAAACTTCTAGGAGAATGTTGGGTTTTTTTAATCCAAAGAAATTTATTTTTGAAGTCTGGGGCTGTGAATGGAAAACAAATTGTTTATAAGCTGTGCTTAGACTGAAAAAAGGGTTAGACTATGTTAATGGAATAGGGCAGTTAGCGTGGGCTGGCTCATCATTCTTGCAGCAATAGAGACACTTTCAGGTTGCAGAGATTCTGGTTTCTTTTGGCACAGATGTCCTTTTTGTCCTCTGGCACAGTTTTCCTTGATTTTTCAAAGAAATATTGGATGTTTGCTGCTCGTCTATATCTAAGAAGAGCAGCTTGCTTCTCCCACTGGTATAATATGCCTCTGCTTATTGCTCTGCAGTATTCTGTGAGGGAGCATACAGGACTGGATAACCTCTACAGAGCAGCTGCCTTTGGATATTTGGCACTGTTATTAGCAATATACTATTGGGATCACAGGCTCCTGTAATAAATTTAGCAATCTTGGCTGTACTATCATTATACTTATCTAGCACCCCTCAGAGCTAGAGAATTTGAAAAGTACATAACCTGTTCTCACTGTGGTGAATACCACTGTATGAATAGAAAGGAAGAAAATAATAGTTTGTATTTTTATGAAGATTCAGCATTTAATTTCTGGTATCTACTGACAACTGCAGCTGTATAATGTGTTGCCTTTCATTGCCCTTGAAGACAGCCCAGGGAGAGGGGGCTTAAAGGCTGGTAATGATAAAGAAGGGGAAAAACCAGCAAGGAGAAGATCTGCTCTTGGAGCTGCTCAGATGTTCAGAAACCTGAAAGTGCATTCTCAACCTGCTTGGAAAGTAAATTAGGAGTATACAATACTCAGGTGTGAGCAATATGCTTTTCAGTGATATTTCTTGCAGTTCTTCAGATAAAGGAAAAATACTGAAGTCACATACTACAGTGTGACATGGAGAATGTTCAACATTCAACTACAAACACAATTCTTGTTTTCCTCCTCTCAGGAAGGCAGCATGTCTTATAAAATTATTATAATATATTAATTATTTACTTGACTCTGATAATGTAGAATAATATGATTGCCAGTCAAAGCTGGATGCTGCCTGAGCACTCAGGCACCACTTCAGCTGGCCTTTGTTAGGCATGTTTTTATATATGGACTGTTAAACACAGCTTTGTGAAATTATTATTCATCTACTCTAATGAGATAGGGATGTGAGCTCCCAGATGAAGACTCTCAATAGCTGCTAGAAAGCTGCTAGAAAGCTGCTAGAAAGCTTTTCACAATTTATTATTGGATATTTGGTCTATATTATTTCATTCTGAAACATGTGATCCCTGTGAAACTTGGTTGGCCAAATCAACCAAGTTTGCCTTTCTTGGTTATCTACCAATGGTTGCATAACCAGAGAACTACACAGCTTTTCCTTTCTCTACCTTCAAGGTAAGGCAGGGATGGCCTAAATCATGTGTTTTCATATCTTACCAGTTAACTAAAAGCTGTTTCCAGTAACTGGATGCAGTATTTCCTCTACTTTCACTCGCAACAGTTTAGGCAATATAACAAAATAGCAATGGATACCTGGAGGATTGATTACTACAGAATCCAGTACTTGCTAGGCAGTAACAATCCAGGGATGCAATCACACAGAGCTGGCTTGCCTTCACTTCTCCACTTCATAGCAATTCTTGTGCATGTTCAAAGGCCAGCTAGAAGGAGTTCAGACACATACCTAGAAATGTGATGAATCAATATGCAAGTTTTGCAGCCAATACTTTATCATCTCATATCTGCATTATTAATAACTGCTGTATCTGCTTCATGGATTCAGATGTGCTGCTGTGCATTCTGTGAGGGCGTTTTAGGGCTTTAAGATGAGCCGATGAAGAAATACAATTTAGGATGGAAAACAGACAATTTTTAAGAACAAGTGCAAAACCAGGAAGATAATGGATGAGTCAGGAGGATTTGTTGGATTTGGTCCCAGCCAACTAAAATTTCCTGATGGAAGCTTCATTTTTTCTCCTACCACTGCAAACTTTTCTGGTTAAGATAGTACTTAGAATGGTGCCTGCACTCTGTAGAGTGGTCACGGAAGTGATAAGGCACAATTTGCCATGTTATGCATCTTCTGCTGATATTGTCTTGTGGAAATGTACCTCTATGGGCAGCAATTGCAAGTGTAAAGTGTCAGGCAAAGTATTATAAGTGACCCCTTCAAGCATAAAACTTTCTAAGACTTTATGATTTTGTTGATAAACTAGGATTTTCTATATGGGATTGTGTTCTTTGCACACTATACCTTCAAAAAGTATCTTTAATAAATTGGTGGGGCTACCAAACTTTGTGGGCTTGGCATGAGGCATTAGGTGTTCTTGATTAAATCATTCTTCATGACTTATAGTGAGACTAGCTGAAGATCTGCAGTTGTATTTTGTCCCTTAATGGTCTTCCTTACTCAGGGCTTAACAGTGGCTTTTATACTAATGTTGGTACAGTTTGTCTTCTCTTGTTTCATCTTCATTTTTGTGGTGATTATTATTCATATTACAATAGAAATTGGAGTGCTCTGTTAGCATCAGAGTCCTACTGTATCAGATGAGCTACAAACACAAGAAAACTGAGTTCTCTAAGTATCAAATATGTTGAAATGTGTTAAAAACTCACTAGTACAGATGTATCAAGTGGAATTAAAAAGGTAAAGATGGTTTATCACCTCAGTGATAGTGCCCCTAAATTTACCTTAAGGCATTGCATGGAACTCTTAAATCTTTCCTACCATTTCACTTTGGTACACTAAATATTCAGAAGACTGGGGAGAATCTGCCCTGAAATCAGTTTTTCTCAGGATCTGTGGTTCCTGTGATGTTAAAACAGACACTCATACTGCCTTTTCTAATTAAAAGTGAAGTGGATGTTCAGCAATAGGGAAGATCTTGTATAAGGATATTAGAAGGGAGTTTGTTGAAAAGAGGTATTGTTGGCAGACAAGAATCAGTGAGCAGGATAAATATGGCATTGAACAAAGCAAACATGCTGGAGGGGAACATGTGGAAGGAACCCCAACCAGTGTGTTTTCACCTAAAGGACATAGTCTGGAATGTTTGCTTAAAGGTCGAATGTTCTTAGTAGAAATATCATTGAGTAAACACCTCGAGTGAAATAAACTGCATTTGAGAGGAAGAAGACTGAGGTGTAGATATTTTTAAAAATGTTTGCCCTTTGAAAGGAAAAAAATCAGAGAATATCAGTTGTCATAATTGTGCTTATGGTTCATAATGTGATATTAGAGGATAAGGCAATACATTTTAAAACTATTTTGGGAATTCTAAGTGTCAGAAAACTCTCTGTTCAATTGTAGTGGTGCAGGGAAAACAGAAATTTCAGCAGAATATATGAAAATAAAAATGACTTTTTCTTGTATGCAGCTGCTTCTCTTTTCTTGAGTGCAGAGAACTTCTTTCAGACAGTTCCTTGCTGACAAGGAAAAAGATGAGAAGAATGAGTCCCATTAGTTATTAGTTTTTAAGTTCTCTGATTAATGAATGAGTCTGATTTTGGTAGTGCTTTAGGATGACACCTAATTAAAGATGATTACATCTGAACATAACCTGTGGAGATGCTCAAAATTAATAAGCATTGTCATCTTAGTAACTGTTGTTATTAGATATACTTATGAAGCTGGGAGTGTAGGACATTATTCTTCTACAAGAAAAGTTTCTGGGACCTTTCTGATTAAAGAGTTGCTAAGGAGCATAGAGGAAAATACCAGTATGTGTGTTGGAATTCTACCACAGTTAACCTGGCATTGAGAGAAATGTGATATGTAAATTAGCTTGCAGGCTGAACTCAGAAGTGGTTCCTTGCTGCTTGCAACTAGAAGCCTGAAGAAATAAAAAAAATTGAGAACCTCTGGTCTAGTCAAGATTTATCTATGTGCCATCTTTGACGCAGATAAATTAGATCATTTCTAATTTTAACTATACAATATACAAAAATGATTAAATGAATGCAGAGATGCATGCCTAATTGAAGGGTCTTTGAATCAAATGGGTTGGAATGTGTCAAAATCTTCCTTTCCCTTGACACAATGCATTTTCACGGTCATTTTGGAAAAACACCAGTAGGGTGCATAGTTGGGCTTCAGAGTGATATGGTGTTGCCATTTACTGTAGATTTAGTTTTAGTCCAAACTTTTTGATGGAATGTGGCGTGGGTTTTTAAAGTTGTTCTTCCTGGGGAAAGTTTTCATTGATCTTTCTTCCCTTGTAGCTGTGGGAACAGCTTTAGAACTTGGTTATAGTATATACCAAAAGCTCAAATGATAAAGGACAAAGTGTCAGACCTGAAAAAAATGTGAAAGAAACTCAAGTGCTCTGCCCTTATGCCTTTTAAGTCACTTATGACTCACAGTTTTGACTGACTGAACTTGGCAGCATTTGTGGTATTTTGGGTATATTTGTGGAAGCCCACAATAGTGGGTTTTGTCATCCTTTGTATTCAATAATTCAACACAGATTTTAGTCTTTTAAATTGTTGGAGTCCTTTGAGATCTTTTCAGGAGTGAGAGTTAGCTTTGAATTACTTGAAAAGTATTATTAAATAGATTATGTAAAGAAAGCGTGATCTCCTTTGGAGGTTTTCTATCCTTTAATAAGGGGCAGAAAGCCTGGGAGCAGGGCCAGAAGTAAGAAGTTGGCAGGGACTGTGCCTCCTATAGAAAAGGGAAGGGAATTTGGAGTCTAAACCTGAGCAAGCAAGAAGGTGGAGGAGAAGAAGCCAAAAGCAGGGTATGCAGCTTTGAGGAGCAGGGGCAGAAGCAGTGGGAAGCAAGGCATACTGTCAGCAGCCATTTGAGCAAACCAGACTGTACCTTCTCCTGCACAGCTGGAGCCAGCCTGCATGAGGTCTGAGCTGCACTTCCGTGCCCTTGTCCCGTCCTCGGGGACAGCTCTCTGCGGGCTGTGTCCCACATCGCCATCCTGCCTGTGGCCCTGGCTGGCGCTCCCCTGGGGCTCGGTGGCACCGGCAGCCGCACAGCTGCCAGCCCCAGCCTGGCAGGAGCCTGTGGAAACCCGGCGCGCTCCTCCTGCCCTGCTCCGGCTTGGTAACAGAGCTGGCAGGAACGGACGGTTTCAGCCTTGCTTGGGGTGGAGAAGGCTCAGCCAATCTAGCTGCTAGGAGGAGTCAGCAAAAAAACTAAGGATACTCCAGATTTTAAGTGTTTAGTATGAGGGTGAAGCAGCTGCAAAGCTTGGCAGGGTACAAGCACTGAACCCCAATAAATGGTGGTTTTATTAAATTAGAGTAAATTGCAGAAATTAAATGTTTGACAAAGATTTTTCAATAAATTATTCTGACGCTTGAAGGAGGGAGCACCATCTAAACCTGCTGTCCATTCTTTGATTAAATACTTAAAGTGAAATAAGGTATATTAGAATAATGTATATTAGGTATATTTGAATAAGGTATATTAGTCTTCAAAGAAGATGTTAAAGTACTATGCAGTAATAGTGTCTTATGTCAAAGATTCTTTATGAAATTGAATTATGTCAAATAAAAAACTTCAGTCATTTTTTAACCTCTCAGAGCTCAGTTCACAATTTTAAGAGTAGTGTTGAAAGGATATTATAGATAAGACAGTGTGAACTTGGGTAGATTGCTTCTCAGAGTTGTGTATGTTTTATACAAAAAACAGACATTTAGGTAAAGCTGTTTGAATATTGGTAGAACAGTAAGGCAAGTAATACAGCTGCAGTATTTTCAAGTGCAGAAGGTGATTTGTGCTCAACCAGTCTCTTAATACAAAGGTAGAGACTTTAAAAACAATGAGCAATTTTCTTGGGTTTGATCTTTTTCTTTTTGTTTTATTCTGTAAATATGTTAGTTGATTTTTGAGTAAACAGTTACTTCATGTCCCATAGGGACAGTTCTCTGACTTGCTCACTTGCACTTTGCTTAGCTATGATTTTCAGTATGTATAATTAATCAAACCAATGAACTTATAAAATAAAGAAATAATATTATATTGTAATCCAGCCCTCTTGACTTTGCTTTTTGACCTTTTTGGATGTTTGAAGTTCTTTTTTCTTCAAAAGGCATGTAGGAAAATCCTGTGACTGTTTTTGACTGGGGAGCCACTCCAAGCTTAGTGTCCTTCTGTCCTTCTAGGAACCAGCAGTGTCACAGTCTGTGAGGGGTCATGTCAAGCAGGTTCCAGAGCACATCATGTCCAGGGCTGCTTTTGCAGCAGTTGAGACAAACCCTGTGCTAATACAGGAGTGGTGCATTGTGGTTTATACTCTCCTTTCTTCTTTTCCTTCCTTTCTTTTAACCATTCCATGTATCTATACTAATCTTGTTAGACTTTTAGTGACCAGAGAAACCTCAGAACTTGTGCTAATTCATGGCGCAGCTTTGACACCACCATATTTTCACAATTGTGTGTAGGCTAAATGTAGAAGGGATGCAAAGGGTGTTGCCATCTCAGTTTGACTGCAAGGAAGAAATGAAATTTTAAGCAGGTAAAGCAGCTAGAATTAATGAGACAAACAGTGTGTTAGCTGATACCACCTGTACCTTTGCAGACATATGTGCCTGTGTAAGACATTAAACAAGGTATACCTCACAAATATAGGTTAATGCTGAACCCTATTATAAAGTTTCTA